CTAGACGTGATAAATGCATGAATCAGTTTTTCTGCATCATTTTTGGACAAAATYTTTCTAATTTTAGTGATATTACGCAGGTGGAAGAAGGCGGTCCTGGTAGCATTTTTAATGTGGGGATTAAAAGACATGTCCTGATCAAAAATAACACCAAGGTTCTTTACATTAGAACTGGAGACCAGATTAATGCCATCCAGAGGAGGTGAAAGGCTGCACAGTTGATCCCTAAGATGTTCAGGTCCAAAAACCATAACCTCTGTCTTACCTGGTGTTTGATCATCCAGCAAAATCACTGACACATATTAATAGTTTCTGTTTAAAAATGTCTCAAATTAAATGCATTTTTGGACAAAAGTTTAGACATTTTTTGTGTTTTTCTTCTGTTTTGTTCAAGGACTTAAATAAAATAAACCCTCTGATAAAAATAAAGGTGACGTGAGCACATATGACCTAAAATGAGGTGAAACCATTTTATAACGTCTTCACTGAGCATCCCCACTTTTTGACTTATTTATAAAAAAGATAACCTTTGAGGTTTTATTATGTCTGGGTTCTTTAAACATTGGTTCAAGTTTTGAGAAAAAATGCAAACAGAAAATGTGCAACATCTCAGATGTCGTTCTCTTCTGGGATCTGATTGATTCTGCAGACTTTAGTCAAGTTCAAACTCTATCGCAGCCAAATGACTGTTTTCTTTTTGAGACGTATCCTCCTCTGTTTCCCTCGTCTCAAACTGTCTTTTACCAAATCCTTTAGTCTCAGAGTTCAGTTGATTTGTTTCATTTTCATTAACGCTTTAATCTCTTTATTTTCCAAAAGTAATCCTTTTAGGATTTATAGGAATTTAACAAAAAATGAGCAAATCTTGGAGATAAAAAGTAAATTTAAACCCTAAATTCATCTTGTGAGTGAGCTCCTTGTGAACTAATCGAAACAGAAACATCCCGTGTATCTTTTCTCACGTGGCGTGCAGACATCCGAACATTTTCCTCTCAGATTTCTGCTCGTTTCAGTGAATGTGTGCAAAACGTGCAAGAGCTTTTATTTTGAAACTGGAATCAGAAATGCTGATCCGATGACAAGACAGGAGAAAATAAAAAAAGGAGAACATAAGGTTTAAAAATGGGCAAAGACCAAAAAAAAAAAAAAAAAAAAAGCTGAAATTAAATCCAGGAATTAAAAAAAGCACTTCCGTCGGTCCGTTCCCACAGAGAGAAGGTGAAAGGGCCGGTTCATGACTCGTACCCTCTGCTGCTCCTGATATCAGCCTGAATAAAGAAACCACCAGGACAAACATCTCCGTCTAAATTTACTGAGCATCCTCAGTTAGCATTAGCAGTTAGCATCTAATATCCAGCATGGAAAACAGAAACTCGTTTTTTTTGTTTTGTTTTGTGCTCCGAGCCCAGCGCCCTCTTTATGATTCTCCTTTTTATTTTGCTAATCCAATCTTATTAATCAGCATTTCTACATCACACAGACCTAATCCAACCATCAGATAACCCAGACCTCACCAGGGTTACCTCAGAAGCTAACTCACAGAAACTTTGTTTAAATAAAACACTTCATCTCTCATTATCGTCGGAGTTTCTTCCTGTCAGATCTCATCAGTCAGTGGAGCTGTCACCCAGCGTGTTCCCCCGTCCTCGGCCTCAGGACCCACTGACCTGCATGTTTTTGAGCTTTTTCTGCTTCGACGCGCCTGATTTGAATTAATGGGTCATTAACAGGCTTCTGTTCAACTCGATGACAAGCTGATGAGCTCATTCGTTCAGTACAGGCACGCAAGAAGGGAGATATCTAAACTATGCAGGACGACGTGCCCTGCAGGACCAGGACCTTGAAGCACGTAAATTTGTTGATTTGAGCTCTGGGAGTACGCGCACGCAGAATGTGTTCAAACGGTATTTTTAATGGGCCACAAAGGACTTTTTGAAAGTTGAATTAATTGTTGAATTAGGAGATGTTTGGAGTTGGAGCCACCAGCTCTGATGAAAACTGKGGCTGACGGCTTCCTATTTTGCTGATTTGTGACACAAAGACAAACAAAACAGCAGCAGTTCAGTCGGTGTTAGAATGAGCTGCAGCCACAAACTCGTTGTCTCCTGTCAGACTTTTTTTTTWAAATAATACTGTCTTTTGTGTCATCTTCTTGGAAGCCATTTTGGCTGTTAATGAAAAGATTTGTGTGAATGTGCTTAGCCCTGTCCATATGTTTCATGCATTTACATCAAAACTGTCCCAGTTTTTTTTTTTTTCTGGAATGAAGAGTTTGAACCGAGTGGCTCTCTGGCCCTAAACTGAGATGCTAAAATGCTTTCTTTTAATTCTCAGTCTTCTTGCTGACCTGTTGCCAATTAACCTGATGAGTTGCCAAATGCTTGTCTGCAGCTTCTTGTTGCTCCCATCCCAACATTTTGGAAGATGTGTTGCAGCCATCAAATCAAATAAAGATTTTTGTCCCTAAAATTTAAGTGGCGCTGATTGTAAAATAAATTTTAAAAAGTGTCACTAACACATTTTGATTATTTAGCTCACATTCTGAGTATAAAATCCTAGTAAAAAGATTTCCACTAACATTTTATTGTTATTTAACTTAACATTCCTACATTTCACAAATTTTTACTAAATTTAAATGTTAATTAATATCTGTAAGTATTAAATAATAAATACATTTAAAAGTTAAAAATGTCTAAATGTTGAATTCTACATTTAACTATTTCAGAACGGAACACAGCCTATGTTGTGGGTGTTTGGAATTAGCTAATGTGGCTAATTCTGCTAACGCTTTGATATACGACAAGAAACTTGCAGTTGTGGCTGGTGTCCGAGCTGCACTTCAAACTGCCGGACCACAGGTACGACTTAAATTGTTGTCAATGAAAACATTTTGAATTTAAATTTTAAATGACAATGTGTTAGCAATATTAGCAGCATTAGCAGTTGCTTTTGTCACAGGATAACATTTAATGCTGCTAATGCTGCTAACAATGCTACACAAACTTGCAGTTGCGGCGCGTGTTTCTGAGCTGCACTTCAATCTGTCGGACCACAGGTACCATCCGTGTTGTTTTCATTGAACACATCTTTAAATTTAAAATTTAAATGCCATATTCAGCTGCATTAGCAGCGTTCACGGTTGCTTTTTCTGTAGGATGATGTCTAACGCTGCTAATGCTGCTAACAATGCTAACGCTTTTATGCATAACATCAAACTTGCAGTTGTGGCCGGAGTCTGAGCTTCACTTCAAATTGACAGACCACAAGTAACATCCAAATTGTTTTCAAAAAACACATTTTGAACTCAAATTTTAAATGCCACCTTCAGCAGCGTTAGCAGCATTAGCAGAGTTGGCAGAATTAGCAGATGCTATTGGTGCAGGATGCTATCGATGCTGCTAACAATGCTAACACTTTTATACACAATCAAATTTGCAATTGCAGTCGAATGAAAACATTTTGAATTTAAAGCTTCAGCAACATAAGCAGATTTTGCAGCATTAACAGATTTTGCAACATTGACAGATTTTGCAGCATTAGCAGCATAAACAGTTGCTTTTGTCCCAGGATGATGTCTAACATTGCTAATGCTGCTGAGGATGGCTTTTAAATTTTAAAATCAAAACGTGTTCACCTCAATATCGGTGGCGTTTGTCACAGGATGATGACGTCACAACAAAAGCCGAGGACCAACAGCAAAGGCAGCGTTCCATTCCGAATTATTAAAATGTAAAATTCAACATTTAGAGACATTTAGAAAGTATGTCAAATAATGTAAATGTGTTACTGGCATTTTTTAACATTTTATTGTACACTTAGAGCTCCATAAAAACATGACATAATTTGTTAGTTGAAACGTTTGACATGGTTACTGCGTTCCAATGTGAATAAAATATGGGTGCAGATTTTACACAACTTTTTATGGAAATGGTTCATGATGTTTTGCAGATCCAGCAAAAACATAACGGTTCTGAATCCGTGACAACCGATGATGTTCTGGCTTCTTGTAGGAGTATGTTACGAGCTGCCTCTTGTGACTTCAAAATAAAAGCCAAGAGGACACTTAAATCTAAGGGTTTGAGTAATGCTGGGGAACCTTTTTTCTCCCTTTTTTTTAAAAACACACCAAATGATAATTTCAGCCAGAGAATTTGGAATGTCCCGCAGCTCTGTCCATCCTGTTCCCATGAGAATGATGTCTGCTCGGGCCAGAAGCCATTCCCCGTGTAACCCCTCTGCTTTCTCCCGAAGGACCAATTGGCCAACATTAAGCCAGTGACCCCAGCCCGGCAGAAACCAAGATGTATGCGGCGGCAGTAACAGTAGACCGAGGTCAGGCCCGGCTGAAAATAAAACTGCATTTTGTCAAAACAAATAAGACAAGACGATGAGAGCTGCTTTTTATCTGTGTGTGAGCGGCAGAGGATGGTGCCGTAACACAATCCTTTAAACAGAAACACTCGCTTCGCTTTTTACTTCTGCTTGAGACGTCATTCTGGACACATTTTTGGATTTTGTTCCTCCGTGCAGGTTTCAAAGTGTGTCTCTTGTCTCACGGCCTTTATCAAAGGATTTTTTTCCCCCTCTCCTGTAAATTCATGACTTCTGCAGAACAGTTTATCATTGTGCAAACAAACCCAGTCGACTTGCTTTGTCCCTCCACATGTAAAAAGCTTGTGTTTCATAAGACTTGGACAGAGCCGTCTATCTGGAACTAATCTCTGTGTGTGTTTTCATGTAGAGTGAAGCCCAGCGGGACGGATGAGGAGCAGCGAGGAGGTGCATCCTGCGACACGGAGACGCGGACAGTTTTTCAACCTGAAGTATGTGGACTACGTGGTTCGGCTGCCGATCCCCCACGAAGCGTCGGCGCGGACTGTGAGGACAGAGTCTCCGGCCTGGGCTCAGTGTGAATGACCATACAAGGCTTTTACTTCACTGCAGGAGTGAAAAAGATCAGTCAGGAGGAAGATTACAGGACTTCTTGTAGATCTATTTCTTTAACCAATCTGTCTTTGCTCTGGTTCCTTTTTTTTTTTTGGTCATCTATCTGTTATCTGGCTGTTTTTCTTTTTTACTTTCCTCCCTCTCTCCCCTCTTTCAGTCTTTTAATCTCCCCTCACTTTTCTATTTTCTTTTCTGGCTCCTTCCAGGTCCCTTCCTTCTCTCTTTGGTTGCAAATACACTGTAAAAACAAACGGTCAAAATTTAACCAATAAAACTGGCATAAACTGCTGCATTTATTCAATTTAGGCAAAAATACTCCTTATTTTAGATTTAAAAGGTAAATATTAACAGATAAATATGCAACGATTTTTTAACACTTTAACAATTTTCAAATAGTTAGATTTGAACAGTTTTTACTTGATTAAATCAGACAAACTTCTATGTTGTCAAGTTTTAACTGTTTTATTTAGTAAATTAAGTCAATTTTAACTCGTTTATGTCTTGAATCAAACCAATTACTGATGCAATTAGACAAGTTAGCTAAATTTGACTATTTTTCTAATGTACCTTTTTATTATTTAAACAAGTAAATTAGGGTAATTTTACTAAATTTGGTCAATTTGAACTTGTTTATGTCTTGAATCAAACAAATTATGGATGTAATTAGACAATTTAGCTAAATTTGACCATTTTGCTAAAGTAATTTATCAATTTTTAAATAAGTTAATTAGGTCAGTTTAAGTAAATTAGGTCAATTTTAACTCATTCATGTCTTGTTTCAAACCTATTTCAGATGCAGTTAGTCAAATTAGCCAAACTTGACCACTTGTCTAAACTAATTTAATAAAAATTAAATAAGTTTTGTTGGTAATAGAGTAAAAATCCTGTTTTACAGTGCAGAGAGGGCACTCTAATAGACCCCCCTCACGACTCCTGTCGCTGCACTCCTCCCTCTTCTTCTTCTCCTTCTCGTCTTCTCTCTCTCCTCCCCTTGCCTCCCTCCTCTCCTCCCTCGCTCCTTCCCCTCTTTTCTCAGCCAGTCCCAGATAAGAGGGGGGCAGAAGTAATTCTCTTCAGCCACTTCTGAAGCCGGAGCCACTAGAGAAGGCTGTGAGGACGAAATGAGTTCTATCTTTTTATTTTTTTAGGATTTAAAAATAGAAATTTCTACTCTTAACAACCAGGCATCTTTTACTCTGAAAGTTCTTTGTTTTCTCATCACTTTCACTTCCTAAATTGGGCTCATTTGTTGAGTTGTGTTTTCTTAATCTGTGCTTTTTCTTTTCCTGCGTGGATCTAAAGTTCCAGCTCTCAACAAACCATGAAGAACTTGTCAAAAGTGAAACCAATGGACCCATTCATCTGAGTGAAAGCAAGAAAAAAGAATAAAGATCCAGGCTGGGGAGGTGAAGCACGATTAAGGGAGACTGGAGACCACCTGGTGTGAGATCAACAGGTGCTGCTCTTTTAAAAGGTGTGATTCAACATAAAGGAGACCCTTTGAACTCAAAAAGGACGACCTTCAGGATCTGACCTCATGGATCGCCGCGTGCAGAGACTTGTGCAAGTATCCTGCACACAGATGTTTGCTTAAAGGTAAATTGGGGTCAAAGTGTGAGCAATCTTCTCTTGACCCTCTCAAGACTGAGAACAAACACTTCACTACAGTAGAAAGAACTGTCATGAAAGGCCTGAACCTCACCTGGGTGTTCCTGGTGCTGCTGCTGCTTTGGACCTGGTCAGCCGTCACCGATGCCGCCGGCGTCGGGAGCACGGAGCGGGCAGGAGCTGGACGAGGCCAGAGGAAAGGGGGAAGCGGCGGAGGAGGAGGAGGAGGCGCGGAGAAGAGGAGGAGGCTTCACCGCATCCAGCACGGCCAGTGCAGCTACACCTTCATCCTGCCGGAGGGGGACGGGTGTCAGGGCGGAGGGCCGCCACCGCCGGGCGAACAATATGGCGGCTCCCGCGGCGTGCAGAGAGACGCGCCGCCCGTGGACGGCGATTGGTCGGCTGACAAGCTGCAGCACCTGGAAAACATAATGGAGAACAACACGCTGTGGCTGCAGAAGGTAAGAGATAAACCGGCTTTTCTTCAGCGCACGCCTCGACGGTGCGATGTTGAAACAGCTGGGTCAACAGTTAGACACGTGTGCAGGAAGAAAAAACATACAAATCTCAAGAATATCAGACATTACACTGATTCTTAATGATTTCCCCAGTGTGGTAATGATGTTCAAAGTAGGGATGCACGATATATCAGTATTGATATCGGTATCGGCCGATATTGGGAATTAATGAGAATATCGATATCGGTCCGATATGTAAAACTGGGCCGATATTAACGTCCGATATTGTTTTCCCACTTTTTAACTTTGTGTTTTGGGAGATGTTGGTTGAGCTGCATCTGTTTGATCATAATAGTGATATAGACGCTGCGTAACCAGGAATAACTGAAGTAGGGAGCCATGTCAGAGGTCTGGTCATTTACGGTATCAAAAAAACGACCCAAGTGCGTTTGTGTGTACATGTATAATATAATTTGTGTGTTTATGTAATATCAGTAAATATCGGTTATCGGCCATAACAGCAATAATTATATCGATATCGATATTGGCTGAAATTTTCATATCGGTGCATCCCTAGTTCAAAGTGCTGAATGACTGCCCAAGAAACTCAAACTGAGCCTTTAAAGCTGAAAAAAAACCCCACTTGCTAATAGAAGGAAAACACTAGCTAAATGTAGCTAAACGCTATCCAAAAGCTAACATAGCAAATGGCTAGATAAAAATTAAAATTGGAAAACAAACTGAAGTCTGAAGGCAGCAAAATCTTAGCTTGAATCTACAAGAAGCAAAAGGCTTAAAACAACAACATGTTGAGAGCAGGAATAGCAAAATAGTAAGATTGTAGCTAAAAGAAAAGTTAGGATAAGGCTAAAAGTAGCAAAAGGCTAACAAAACAGAAAATACATCCTGTACTTATTTAGCATCTTTCTGGCCAAGCAGGATACTCAAAATACTTTACAACACTATGTCTTATTTCCTTCCAGTGAAATAAACAAACTGATAGCAGAAAGTAGCTATTGGCTACATTGATTTGGTATCCTTCTAGCAGTTGATCTGTGTTGGTCAAAGGTTTTCCATTGCCTGCGACCAATGTGAGCACAACTCCTACATTGGTTTTATGGCACCTGGCATTCCCACATGGTCTCCCTTCCAAGGAATAACCAGGTCCAAGCCTGCTTAGCTTCAGAGATCAGACAAGATCTGGTGTGTTCAGGATGGCATTGCCACTAAAACAGCCAACAAAACGACCAAAAAAAGCAAACTAAAATCTGAAAGAAGCAAAACAGTTTAAAAGTTGCGAAAGGCTAGCTAAAAACATCCCATAACTTAGCTGACAACTGAAAAAGGATACCAAAACAAAGCAAAGTAGGCTAAGCTTAAAGCTAAAAGTAGCCAAAGCTAACCAGTTAATGGAATAAATGTGCTGAATGTATTTAGTTTATTTGTAGCCAACCAGGCTACTCAAAATGCTTTATTTCACAATCTGTCTTCATTTACTCCTAGTAAAATAAGCAAAAGGCTAACTAAAGGTAACGTAAAACAAGCCAAAAGGTAAAAATACTAGAAAAAAATCTCAAAGTAGCACAAGAATAAACAAATAAATCAAGTAAGCTGAATCAAGATAAAAAAATGCAAATAAAGGTAAATATTTTTGAAAAGTTTAACAAAAGTAAAAAAAAAAACACTTATCTGCTGAATGAGCTGAATGTTTGGGTATATGAGCAGCTAAAATGGCAGAAAGTATGCTGAAGCAGTTAAACTGCAACAAAATGTATGGGTTAAAAAAAAACAAGAAAAAAGTGTGAATGCTGACTCAGCGTTGTGATACAGGTTTGTGCCGCAGTCATTTGTCGGACAGAGATGAAAGTTTCAGGTTGTGCAGTGTTTCCCCTACCATTATACAGCCCCCCCCCC